TAAAAACAGAGCTATAAATCTGGAGACATTATGTTCATCACATTTGACCTCTAAGTGAATATAAAGTTATAGAACTATTTACTGGCAAATTGGGGAAAAAAATAAAGCTCTGCACTGTGTATCTACAATCCTTTAACAAAACTATCGAAGTTCTTATTTTACTTACAAATCACAGTAAACGGTGAAGAAGAGCTGAGGCCATTTCCAATCAATCACGCAAAACACATAATAGATCCACAGACTTTTTGGCCAGAGAAATACAACCCAACCCGACCCTTTTACTGTCAACTTACGGGATGTCTGTGGGAACTATCAGGTTATATGTATATTTGACCAGTCAAGGATTGTTATGTCTAAAAATCATAAATATTAACATTTTCTGATCTCTGCCAGATGTCATGTTTGCAGGTCCAAAATGAGTGAGAAATCTTTGAACACAGTTGAAAACTCATTCAGTCAATTCTATTTTGGCACATAGTACAGATAAACCTTGACTGCTTCTGGAAAAAGCATTCTTCAATAGCTGATGGTCTGTGTCTAGATGGATAGGCTATTTTACAAGTCTTGATTGAAGCATATGTGAGGGTAAGAATAAGTATGTAAACAGTATAAGTAATCAGTGTAACTAATTAGTTACTAATGAAACGCATCTTAATCATCGCCATTGTCACTGACCCAATAAATGCTGGATGCTGCTAGTTACTATTATTTATGAATAGCGTTAAGAGATACCTAGTGTAAAAGACTTCTTTTGAAACTCTTTAGGCTCAGTGTGTATAACAATATTTATTTAATTAAGACAACCTCAATAGATAAACCTACACTTATTTATGAGACAAATACTTCTCAAAAAACAAAAGGAAAACAGAATTTTGAAACACAAACTGAAGTTGTACAAGTTATTGTAAACAACATGAAGACACTTGTTAGAGTAACATATGTTCAGTCTATATTCATTGAAACATCTCTGTTGGTCAAGAAATGTCATCCATCTGCTGGCCTGTCCCAGCGTTTCCAGCATCCCATGCCCCCCTCAAGTGGCACATGCACATTTGTCACCTGACAGGAGATGACATACAGGCTTCTAGGAAAAGAGGCCTTTCAGGAACAGGCTGCAGCTGCCAGGACCACTAATCCTTCCTTTGTCACACCAGGAAGAGTGTTTGGGCAGGAGTGGGATGTATGATTTTTCTTCTGGTAGCAGCAGCCTGTTCCAGCAGAGACAGTGTTGATAGAGCATGCCCAGACTGACAATTCTGTGCAGGTGTAGTAAGTATTGTGTACAATCGCATGGCAGATAAACGGCTCTCCCATGCAACCAGATTAGGGTTATTTCCGTCCTTGACTAAGAGCTAACATGTTTTATCTCTCCCTTCAAATGGGCTAAAGGTATGTATGCTGTCATATTTGTGGCTTATAGCATACGTAACTAGATTATGTATGTAAGCCATAATTTTAAATCTTGCAAGAATCTATTTCATATATTAACAGACTGCATTGTCACACAAAGTTTCGTTTGATATCCACTCCAAATACCCATTAATATTATTCCATTCTCTTGCACAAACCCCTTTGTCTCCTGAGATAATCCAATTGTTTTAGTTCTCTCTAAATTTCTTCCAAAGGTAAAGACTCACCTAGAGTTGAATGCAACATTCTAGGTGCAGTCATTCAAAGACAATTGTGAATTATTATTTTTCTGTTGGCTGTCTGATGAGCCAGTGATGCAACATGTGCAGTGCTGTGTCAGCCAATCTCTGTGAAAGAATGACATTAGAGCATGTCTTCTTTTTCCCCATTCTTTTCTCAAGAGACCCTTCACCTAAGGTGTAGTGAGATAACCATGAAATGTACTCTAGTTGTTTAAAAGCTCCTCGTTAGCATATTGCATTGCTGTTACTTAAACAACCAACAAAAAGCAAAACAAATGTGGTTTCTGCACAGTTTTCTGCAGGGAAATTGAAGAGGCAGTAAAGTATGATTATCTACATAAAGCCAGCGGTTTTTCAAGCATCATCTGCTTTGTGGCCAGGGGCATCAAACATTGCAATAACTGTCGAAGATATAGGAGAAACCCCGGCCTATAAGTTATTCAACTACATCATTACTAGGCTCCATAACTTCCAAAAATCAAAAATGAGTATTTGATTAGTGAAGTCCTAGTAACTCATACATTTTCCTTATATAGTTCTTCATATTGCAGAATTTTAAAGTAATCTGAACTTTAAAATGTTACTCCAAAGAATGGAATGCTTCTTTCCCCTCCCTGCTCACGACCATTTTTGATTTCCTTCAAGTAGAATTATAGCATCTGCCTCCAAATGTATGAAATTATCTGTCACAACCATGCCATGTAGTACAGCATGTTGTTTGATGGACAGTGAAACTAACCCCAGTTCCCTTTGGGTCTTACATCTCTTACACCGCCAGCCATATGATAGTAACTTTAGATCTCCCACTATTTCTCTTTATTGCAATGCATCCAGGTACTCTTCCAGTACCTGGAGTCCTCTTTAGCAGTATTTCTTCTCGTTTCTCATATTATGTAACTTTGTCCCCCTCCCCTGTCCTCATACCGGCTACTATCCACCCACATCTGTCTCCCTGATATGGTAAGAGTTAGCAAATGACGTGGCTGGTTCAGAGCCATGGGCTCACTGCTTGCCAAGCTCATGAGTTCATCCAGGCTGAGCAGCCAGCCAGGTGAAGGAGACTGTTTGCCTTTTCTGCTGTTCTGTTACGGGTGGCAAGTGGGGGAGGTAACACCAAGGGCTGATTTCACTGTCACCTCCTTCTTTTTATTGAAGGTGCACAAACTTACTGTGTTTTAAATCTAATGGAAAGTAGCCAATGTGCTCAAAGTTTAACTGCAAGAAATTCACTTAGGTTAGAAAGGAGGCTTTCAGGGATCTACAGTTAAAAAAAAAAAAAAAGTTGTCCCCACCTTGTTTAATCTGTCATAGGGAAAATCTCCCCCATTCTTTTTGACAGATTTGGTTTTATATATGTCCGGTAGATAGACTGCTGTAGGCTTAGTTCTGCTGATTAATAATCACAGAATTGCTTTAATATTTTTAATTTTGCATTTTTAGTCTAGCATGTGAAACAATATTAAATTTAACCTTTTGGCTTACAGTTTTTTTTGCTTTCTGTTTCTCCATGTACCGCATAATAAAATCTGGATCACAGCAAGTCACCAGCCTTGTTAATGGAATTTTATGGTCAGGAGACTGAAGTTTCTGAGAGTAACTCTACCACGTTGTGCTCTGACAGCTTCATTAGATCATGCTGTAAAGAGGGTCATAATTGAAGCAAAATAAACAGAAGCGCTTTAGCATCTTTTGGAAAGTTGACTTCCTTGAAGTTCTGCAAGGAAGACATTTCAATGACAGTTGACACGTACCTCTTCTGTGTTAGGACTTGAATAACTGTTCTTCAGACAAGCACAGTGTTTACTCTGTTTCTACTAAATAACCTGATTAAATTTGCAGTATCAAAACCAAAAAGTTTAGAACTTTAATATTCTTTGCCTTTTCCTCTTCACCTTTCAGATGCACTCTTCCCACAAAACGGGAAAAGCAGAAACTACTTACAGAGAGTGCAAAGCCTCACCTTTTTGTATTTTTGTGGTAAGATAGCAATTCCCAAGCTTTGCCCATTACTTGCCACAGCGCAAATGTCTTCTGGGTAATGAGATGTATTCTTTTCACCATGAAGCTTCCATCAGATACTGGAACAAAAAGGGCAAAGACAGTCTTTGGATCTATAAACCCAAAACAGCAACGAGTAGACAATGAGCTATGGAATTAATGAGATCTATATCAAGTCCATTTTTGGTGTTTACATTTCACAATAATGACCCAGAGATAAGCTGCCAAGGTGATCACAAGTCTAGAAAGTACACCATGAAAAAAGTTAAGGAGTGTAATTGATATGGTATTTAGGATAAATGTTTTTTTAAAGCTATTCAGTACACTTAGATGATCAATAAATTTAACTGTTTATAAATTTTCTACCATAAGTTTTTGATGAAAAAATGTACTTCTGCCAAAAAATTGTACTTGTGTAAAAAGTATCTTTCCATCATGTGTTTTTGAAATGTTTGAACTATTAGTATTTCACTTAAATTTTTCAGACAGCAACTTAAACATATCAATGCTTAATCATGCAGCAGGGACCTGTTGTGTCCCAATGATGAAGCCCATGGCCCTTCTGCTGCACCACACGAAGGACCTCTCCTTTCTGTCCTGACAGTAAGGCAGTGAGGGAAGTATTGCATTGTAGGTAATGTCTGTCCAGAAACTTGGTGCTGAGCTTCTGCTAGGCACCTGAACAAAACTCCCATAAAGTGTGTAACGGTTCCTTGATACTTACCATGGACTTATACTTTCTCTCATCCTGATTTTTGGTTTAACACCGTAACGATACAATTTTTCACTGCAGCCTACCATTGGATCCAGCAAGTATGATTTCATGTAGCACACGTGGCGATACCTGAATGACAATGCCCTTTTGGATCACTTGTCTTTTCCTGACCCTAAATAGCAGAAAGAATTTCTGAGTCAAACAACCAAGGAAGAAAAAATATTGGATTTTATTTTGTTTTAAATTATGCCTTTTATTATTATAATTGCTAATGCCTTATTACCACCATTAGCAGATGTTCATGATCCGAGCAAGCGCACAAAGCGCTGGGTCAAAACTCGATTGCTAGGCTGTAAAATCATGAGGTGCTAACCTCACATCTGTGATCTAGGCAGCTGCTGCAGCATTAACATGGAGAAGCTGAAGAGACGTGACTGACAAAGTTACAGGTAAAGATGCAAACTGTTGAGAAGTAAGTTTTTAATGTAAAAGTTCGGTTATGTAACACGAGGAAACAATCATGCTCCTAGACTGACACTGTCCCTTTAATAAAATGGCTTGGTCTCCCACTCAGCTCTGGCTAAATGCCTGACTATTTTATTTAAGTTTTGGCCAGCTGACTGGGAATAATGGACCATAAGGGATCTAGATGCAAGGTAGATCCATTTACAAGTGGTTAGATTATTTCTTTACAGAGTGCCTAATTTTCTTAAACAAAATATATTTTCCAGTATGACCTACTGGATGTATTTTCTGTACTGACAGCTTATTCAATCCACAGTGTGCTGCCTGAATGCCTTTGAAGGTAAGAGGTTTATAAAGTTATTTCATTTGTATTTTGAGAGGACTGCACTGATGAGTTCTGTATATGTAACTTGAATAGAGCTGGATATAATATATAGGGATATTTAAAACACTAGCTCATACATGTAATGCTTTATATTAATAATATTTAAAATGAATTGTTGTAAATTACAGGCATTTTTGGGGAAAATTAGCTTTAGTGGAGTTCTGGTTTTTCCAGAAATAAGTTGAATCACTGGAAAATAGCTTAATGTTCATTTTATTAGTATATATTGTCGTTATAATCCAATATTGTCTCTGTAGAAAATACTACATGCCTTTTATTATAGCTATGTCACATTAACAATACATTCATGTTTAGAACTTCATTACTCAACCGCTTCTTTATTGTTCATACTGATGATTCAGACCTAGGTAATGTAACTGTATCCAAAAATACCCAGATCTCTGTTTGTTTCTAACAATCAGGGGCTTATAGAAACAAATTATATCCTATGTTTTCTGTAATATTTCTACTATTTTTACATAATTAGTTTAATAACCATATATGTCAATAGCAATATGCGTTAATAACAATTTGTTTTACCCTTCTTTGTTAGCTGTTCAGATGAAAGTTAAAGATAGCACTGATTATTTTTTTAATACAGAAAAGGAAGCGCTGCATTTGTTCTATCTATATTTCTTTTCTAATAAAATAGATTCTAATATACAAGTACATGGGAGCTGCAGTTGAGATTGCACTGGCTGCTATGCTTGGCTCACCTTCCCAGGGAACTTTATAATTTTTTTTACATGTTGTCTCCAGATTTCCAGCAGTGCTTACCATGAATGTGTATTTTGAATATAAAGTATATGTATTTGTTTATTAGTATCTATTAATAAAGTATTTACAGATTTTTTTTCTTAACAGGAAGGAAAAGTCTAATTTCAGAGTCACTATGTGGAAAAAACATTCTTTCTTTTGCTTTTTACTTCTGGCTGTGTTCATGAACCAGATGGTATATGGGCAAAATAGAAAGAAAGGAAAGAATGCTTATTCTCTTGTGCAAAAAGATGAAGGTAAAAGCATTTTCTTAGAATTTCTGGTTGCCCATGTATTATATCTCCTTATTTTTCAGGATAATTACCTAGTAACTGACCGCTTGTGCATATTTTTTTACAATGCAATTTATTTTGATCATTGGGCCTGGAGAATACTTTGGTATATTTCACATTTACTTAGCCATACGCTTCAATTTGGCCTATCATTTTTGTTGGCACATGCAGAATTCTTTTAAGATAAGTGATAAGAAGCCTATTTTTTGTTTGAATTTACATGTGGAAAATGAGTAGTTTGTATACAAAATCAATTAAAATGCTAAAACAGTCCCATCAAGATCTTCATTTGAATGTTTTTCGCTATAGACTGTCCTTAATAGTACTGGTATGTATTAAACTAAACTAAATTAAATTATTTGACTTTAGTAGAATTTCTTGGCATTTGCAGTGATGTATTAGAGTGGAATCGCTCCTCAGAATTTTTTACTGGGAAGAGGAGTTGGGGGAATGGTTTGAAGATTGGGAATGTTGCAGATAATAATCTAAAATTAAAAAGATTAAAAAGTGTAGGTATGCTAATCACTCATAGATTTAACTTTCTTCTTCCATTGCAGGTGATATGTGTCTCATTGATATAGTCTTTATTTTGGACAGTTCAGAAAGTGCCAAAAATCAATTGTTTGGTTTACAGAAAGAATTTGTTCAAAACTTAACTGACAACATTTTCCAGATGAAGCTAGTTAAATCTCAGAAATATAATGTCAAGCTCGCAGGTATGCAATTCAGCAGCATAGTCAGCATTGATCATCCCTTTACAGCTTGGAAGAATGTGCCGAATTTTAAAGAGAAAATCAGGGCTTTGGTCTTCATTGGCCAGGGCACCTACTCCTATTATGCAATTTCCAATGCCACTCAACTCTTCAAAACTGAAAGTCGTAGGAGAAGTGTGAAAGTGGCCTTTTTGATGACTGATGGTGTGGATCATCCAAACAGTCCTAATATCCAGGGCATAGCCACAGCAGCCAGGAGTCTTGGAATACACTTTTTTACCATTGGCCTTTCTAAGAAAAATGTCCAAGAAGAAAAGTTGCGTTTGATATCTGGTGATTCATCTTCTAAATATATCTTATGCCTGGATGATCAGAACCTGATAGTTGAAGTAGCTTTGGAACTGGTGAGTAATGGCGACGGGACTCTTATCACCCTTCTATCCATGGCAGATTTCCTTTAATTTTGATTGGTTAGTCCTGAACGCAGTGCAGAGGTGTGCAGGTGAGCTAAGGGCTTGCGCTGACCTTGGCCTTGGAAGTTCAGGAAGTTTTTAAGGATTGGGTGTGACACCCACAAGAGCTGGGTCCCAGGGCTGGTTGCAGAGAAGGTCAGTAATTATGGGTTTGAGAACTGTTTTAGGTTAAGGCTTGAGGCCTTTAAGGTTAAACAGCTTAGTTTAATCATAGGCGAGGCTTCTTCCTCTGCTACTCAGACTAACAATAAGAACCACTTATTCTGCTCCCAGACTGGTCAACTTTCGAATTACACTGTAGATTTAAGAGATCACAAACAAAAGCAGGGAGGTCCTGATCCTGAAAAGACCAACGAGCAGACTTCTTTTTACAGATTGCATGTACTGTTCTAAAATCACTGGAATTACTCAAAAGCTTGCACTTTAGCCGTTGCTGCTCAAGAATGTCTGCTGAAGTTAATAGAAGTCAATGTTTTTATTAATTTGAGTGAGATCAGGCTTCCACTGTAGTTATTTATTAAGGGTACTTAGTTCTCTGCCCTGCTAACACAGCATAGGGCACACATAAGAAAAGGTAGGGAATGCTCTTTACTTAATTTCTTAGCTTAGAGTAAACAAAAGTGCTACTGTGAGATAGAATTGGGCTGGACTGGATGTTTCTGGCTTTTGAGCTCTAATGTGCAAAGCCCTGGGGTGGCCTAGTAAGTGTTTGCTTTTTAAAATGCTTGAAAGTATTTTTAAATACAATAAGACTTCGCAAGTAATAAAATAATTTGGAGGAAAATAATTCTTAGAAAATGCAATAGCTTTAATTAGGTAATAGTTAATACAGAGTGTATATAATGTTTTTGTAGCATTCTCTTAAAGGTGGTAAAAAATTAGTTTGGAAAATTTAAAATCCAAAATGGAGACTTGCAGGCTGGTATGCATAAAAATAAATGGTTAGATTGCGCAACTAAGCACATGGCTATAGATCTCACAGATATTTGCAGTGAAAGGCAATTGTAAAATATTTTATGTTATTACAAGTTTGTGCTTTGTACCTAGGAAGATGCATCTATTTACAAAACACAGATTCTTCCCTTAGATCTCATGGTATTGTGCTCTTTATTAATGCATGAATTTTCATTAAGTCATTAGATGTATAAATAGACAACTAGCTTTATATTGATATCAGTATCAATACAGAGCTATAGACATGAAATCAAGTATTTTGGGCTAAGAAGATCCAGACATCTTGTATCTGGACACAAGAATGTCTTTACTCAACATATCTCCATTTTGATACCTCTGGGATATCTCCTCTAGAGAAGGATGCTGAACGTTACAAACTAACCATTGTAGCCCAATGTATCTTTCTTTTTGGCTTCACATTATGCATATTTTATTAATACATTTTGCTACGAAATGCTGCTGAAAGATCTGCCCAGGATACAGATCTTAGTCTCTTCTTGTTCAGGTAAGTAATTTCCTATGGAGTACAGGAAAGAAATTTAAGTAAACTTCAAACAGAGAGATCTTGCTCAGCTGAACTTATCACTTGAAGGGACAGGTTATTTCCTAGCTCACTGACTATATCTCTGAGCATAGGGTAATACTTTAAAAGTAACTGTTTTTCCCATGAATAAGGCTGATAAAGTTCTTCCCCTATAAGTTGTGCTAATAAGGCCTCTGGGTCTTTTCATATTCCCCTTCTTAGCCTTGGTCCTTAACATTGTCTATGTAGTTGTCCTATTATCTCTAGTTTGCCTTCTGTTCATTATGTGTTATACTGAGCAGCCCCCTACTCAAACTGGAGAATTCTTTCTCGTATGACTAGTTCCATGGGCTAGTTCTTACCAGTGTAAGAAAGGCATTCACTTTCTTTACCGTTCGCACTAGAAATTCTATAAACTAGAGAGGAAAAGGGTTAAATTAATACACTGGCAAAAGAAACACATACGGATTTAATATTTTTCTTTTCTTTTCAGGAAGCCTTACTTCAGAAGCAGGTAGGTTTTTTGAGTGTTACATGTTTGGATCACCTTTTGGAGTACGAGATCCTTTCTTTTTCTCCTGAGGTCTACTTCTCCTATAATGCAATAATACTGCAGGATTGATCAATTTTCCTTCCCTGAGTAGAGGTCCCTACTATGGTTGCTTTTATTTTAGCTTTCTTCCATTTCTTCCATCCCTTTTCCTGATAAATGTACAACTAACGTCATTAGTGGGTAATAACAACAGCAAGGCATAAAGAGCTCTTCTTACCAAAGTGGAATAGGGCTAGCAGAGCACATGCAAGTTCATTCATTGTCTCATTAGAAGACAATGTCAATGTTGTACAAAAATTATGTATTATTTCATGGTACTATATACTATGTATATGCTACCTTAAATATGTATATGATATAACTAATTTTTTTCTTACCAATAAAGTCTGGTATTCAAACAACTCTTTTAGGTTGGGCCTTACAGAGGTATAATGTTGATTGTATAAGAAAGATATTTTATTAGATCTTTTATTTCCTTGCTGTTTCCCTGTTATGCTCGCTAGTATATGACTAGGCAAAAGCAGACTTTATGCTTTAAAAATTTTAAAAGATACGTTTGCAAATGTTCTCCTCAATGTTTCTGTTTTAGTGTATGCGGAAGAACTGTGAGTGTGAAAAGGGAGTAAAAGGAGACAAGGGTGATTCTGTAAGTATGCATTCTCTTGAAAAACCTCCAAAAATTGAAGATTAGACATTGAGATCAATGTTGCACAGTATTTTAATTGGTTATTCTTTCTGTAAAAAAACATATCAGCCATGCCTCTACTGCAAACAGAAGGATCATATTATAATATATCATTGTGAAATCTCCAGAAAGAAAAGCAACTATTCTTTTAAGAGCTCACACCCACAATTTGTAATAGTGTACTGACCTTGGAAAGAATACATTCATATTATTTTCTTTGAAGCCCAAATCAAAAAGTTATTTTTGAGAGCTAGAGAGGATAGGCCCATTAGGCAAAGATTTACTTTCACTGGTGGCTCTCATTTTTTTAAGGGGTAAAGGTTCAAAAGATTGAGGGTGACAGCACACGTGAAGAAAGGGCTAGAACTCTATCTGTAGGACTCTCATATCTCTTGCGACACTTCAGCACATAACAGTTTCTTGGTAAGGAAGACAGAAGTGGGACTTCAGAGAGTACGTGACTTCGCTGATCCCTTTGGTATCCTTAATAGCTGCCCCAGAGACAGTCAAGGTATACAGAGATTTTTGCCTTTCTGCCTAGACACTAAGCAGCTGGTCAACCATATGTGTAACAGGTTATGACAGCAAGACCTGCTATCACCCTTAACTCTGGATAATGTGCATCTGGAACTGAAACCCCTCTCTTCAATCTAAAATTTTAGGAACCATGATTTTTAAGCTATTTTTTCCATAATGATTAGATGTAACCCACTAAAGAATAATAAGAAAAGTGTACCAACCTTTCTATTCCCCACCCTCATGATCTTCCAAACAGGAATAACAGTATAGTGATTATTGACTTTGGAGCTGCTGAACACTGATAGTAAGCTGTTCTGCATGTAGCTGCTTTCAAGCAGATGAGAAAAGATAGTGGTGGGTACCTCTGAAAAACAGGGAGGAGGCATTGCATTGTATTTTCTGTGACACTTTGCGGGTTAGATTTTCTAATGCTCTATTCTTCTGAAGTTGAAGGTCAGCAATGTGTTTACCATTGAACACTGATGAAAAAAAAATCACAGATACCTTATAATACCAAAAAAAGTGTGCAGCTAAGTGGTAGTAGTGTCACACCTGCCTTGCCTGCCTCAGTGTGGATTTCCACCTAAGCTTATTCCAGCATGTTTTTGGCCTGCCCCTAAGCTACAGTCTTAAAGAAACTGGAGAAATTTATCCTCACAATGGTAAGAATATTTTCCTGCTTTGTTTCAGGGCAGTACTGGTAGCAGAGGGGAGAAAGGTGAACCAGGACCGAAAGGAAACAAGGTAAAGTTTAAAAAACAAAAAAGTAAATTTCTGTCTAGTCTTATTGAAACCATAGAGGCAAAGACAGCAAAGAAAAGCTATAGTAAAATATGATTTAAAAGACTGACCTTTGCTATGAGAGATTTATAGTTAGCTACTTTAGAAGCCAGAGAGAAAAATTTGAAACTAAAATGCTGTCAAGTTAACCTGCCCATCATTCAAGCTTTTCTCTGTCAACAGATGTCTCTGAATCTAACGGAAGGCTCATTATAAGCAATGGTGCTTTTTGATAGTGCAGGAATCTCTCATACAGAGCAGCTGGCAGGGCTGATGACTAAGATTTCAGTCCTCTAATAACAGTTCTTGAGATTTCTGGGTTAATATTTGGCACTGTATGTTATTGACTGTGGAAAGAATTTTCCTACGTAGGAAAAGCAAATTCTAATCCTTAAAGAGTGTTCTATGTTTTAGAGTAATAACAATGAATAAAAGAACAATACATATTTTAATTGTATTCCTTTGCTTCTAATAGGGTGATAGTCAAAAAGGAGATCAGGGAGAAAAAGGTGAAGAGGTACGTGACTATTACTGTGCTAATTCATATTTGGTTTTCAGATTATCTTCCACATTCCTGAGGATGTCATGTTTTAGTTCCACTGAACTGAAAATATGTTTTCCAGTTTTCACATTTACACTTTATTTAATTACTTACAGTACCTACACTAAGTTCTGGTTTACCAAAGCTTCTGTACTAAGAGAAGCACATTAAAAATTGCTTCAGTTTAACCATACTGTAAGTGTTGGGATGCTATTGACAAAAGGAAATTTTGAAGCTGTATGATTTTGTATTGGCTTGCATTATACTTATCCTGAAGACAGAATTGAAGACGTCATCATGAACAACCATCTAGGTAGTTCTCCAATGACCTGTGTCATCTAGTATTTCTCAGCTTGAGTTCTTCTTGCTTCACAGTAGCAAGATTCTCTCTAGTCCATGCACGAGATCAATTCAGTTTAAAAATCCAGTGTAAATGGTAGGCTATATGTGCTAAGTGGTTGGCAGACTGGCATATTTACAGCTAAATGTCATGAATACACATTTCTAAGTTTGCAGAGAATTGTAAGCTAAATGATTCCAGAGGGGTATTTTATTTTCTTGAAGGCTTAAACTTATTAAAGGTAATTCTTTACTGTGTTTTTCTTCTGATTTAAATTAAGGGTGCATTAGCATTACGCCTTTACATTCTCTTTTATTATTTTTCTTTTCTTGTATTTGTTTTTTTCCAACAGGGAGCTCCTGGTTATAGGGGAGAAAAGGTAAGATTATTAAAGAATAGAAATAGTCTGAAAATAGGTTGTCAGTTGGTGACAATGTACATGAAAGAATGGAAAGAGCAGTCTGTCTTTTCTTCTTGTTGTGAGATGAACCCCAGTGGAATTATTCGTGACAGTAAAATTCATAATTTATGGAGTTGTTTGCTGACTGGCTTTATGGAATTAAAAGAAAAAGTAATAGATCAGAAAATATAAAAAGTCAAATGTAAAAGACCAGAAATAAAGCTGCTAAAAGGACAAGAAAGCTGAGGGTTGAATAAAAGGGTAAGCAGAAAGAATGTGAAATTGATTACTACAAATACAAATAGATGGGGCAATCATTAGATTTAAAAACTTACCACAAGGACATTTGCTTTTAAACTAACAGTTGCTTGCAAGGGCTATCACTTGACCAAAAAAAACCTCTAGGTGTTTTAGATAGGTTCTCCAAGAAGCTAAAAAACAGTACACTTCAAAGACTTGCAACATTCTGGAGCCCAAATTAGCATTCAAAACCTCATAACCAAAACAGAAACAGAGATAATCTCATTTTGACTTTGCGTGCTTTGGACACCTATCTTTCCATAAGGATTGTTAACAAAATCAGTGCTTCTCTGAATCTTTATGTTCACAAGAAAAATGCTGCAATCAATTTTATGGAAACATTTCCTGGAAAGAGGAAAACTAGATTCATACATTTTTGTTTAATCATCAGTAGAACGTATTAATTTACTTTCTTCATTGGAAGTGTACAATCTCACAGCGCTTAATCAGGAAAATCTCAGATGTTACATTAATGAAAGTGGAATCGAGAGAGAGAGATGATCTGTAGGGGCAGTGCAGCAAGCTGGAAAAATACAAGATTTATTAGATATTAAGATGTTATCCTCTTACTATGGAAATTTTGTAGGCATTCTCAGGGAGAAAAGGTACATGTCTTGAGCAGAACTGAAATTCTGCAGAGCATATCTAATGGTGCTACTCTCAGGTCCTCAGAAGCTGCTAAAGCTCTTGCACTACTGAACTGTTTGCACGGTCTTTAATGCCTCTAATGCAGTCAAAATATCTTGTTTAGCTATTAACTTTTTTGATTTCTTATAAAGGGTGAAAGAGGAGAATGTGGATCCCCAGGAATAAAGGGGGAAAGA